CAGGTCTGCGGCTATCCTCAGGTCTCTGGTTCTGAGCTCGATAGATTCATTTTTAGCAGATTTAGATCACATCACTAGTGAGCAGGAGGTATGGTGACTTCAAATGTAAGCTGAGTCACCCCCACATAGGACACCTCCTCTGTATCGTCATTACCTTTACAGACTGTCCTTTTCTTCCAGTTCACAACACTTGACTCGTTACTACCACACATCACATTAGGATTCATTCTGGGTTTGTAGTTTTTACAGGTTTGGATGCGTACATGATATGAAGCCTCTTTAACAGTTCTTTGAAATACAATATTGTTAGTATAAAAATTGATTTTTTTTCTTTTTTATCACATTCAACATTTTAAAAAGATTTTATGCATACAGAAGTGGGGTTCAGGCCAGAGTTGCAGAGGCAGTGAGAGGATTGACCAGAGACAAAGTGGGGTGCAGAACAGGCAAATTGATGAAATCTGCTGAGGGGAGCAGCAGGCGGGTCAGGAGAGGTCTGCCTCATAATGTGGGTCACCTCCCTGGCCTGGGATCGAATTTGTGAAGCGGCTGCAGCTAGCTTCGTAGTGCTTTACTTTAACCCATTGTGCCACCAGAGAAGGCCTTATCATGTTTTGACTTTCCTTCTCTAGCCCTTTATTCTAGGAATTGAGACTTACACCTAATTCTCCAAACCCCTTCAGATCCTTTTGGATTAGAATTTTATTTATCCTTTTATTTTTGAAATAAGTACATTTCCAGGCTTTAGAAGGAAGTTTTGTTAGTATGTTTGGGAATGATGAGTTAATACAAAGGTAGGTGGGATTCCTACCTTTGTATAGGGGTTAAGTCTCGGCGCTATCACACTGTCACTTCTGTGGTCAGGGAGCTGACCCACAGGGCACAGCAGACCTCTCCTGTCCTGCCAGCTATTCCCCTCAGCAGTGTTGTAAGTACAACTGCCTGTTCTGCGCCCCTCTCTGTCTCTGGTGAATGCTCTCACTCTTACCTCCACCACCAACCCCTACCTCTGGCTTACAGCCCTATTCTCCTATGCATAAATAAACAAATCTCAAAAAGAAAATTGGGAGAGAATTTCTACAGTTTGTCGCACAAAGCTTGGTGCATCCTGTATAAGACAAAACACACTCAAACTAATAAACTGCTAGACTTCCTACTCTTCTGACCCAGACCACTGCCCTTACAGGATGGTGTCATTCGAGGACGTGGCTGTGAGCTTCACCTGGGAGGAGTGGCAGGACCTGGACGATGCCCAGAGGACCCTGTACCGGGATGTGATGCTGGAGACCTACAGGAGCCTGGTTTCCGTGGGTGAGCAACACTTTATTCTTGACAGTGCAGTTCAAGGAAATTAAAAAAATATATTTATTAAAAAAATATTTATTTTTATTTATGCATGCATGCAAGCCAAGGTAGGGGGGTTAGAGGAGTCACCAGAGACAGAGTGAGGAGCAGAACAGTGATGCTACTGAAATTACACTGTGGAGTCGAGCAGCGGACAAGACAGGTGCCATCTGCTGTTCCATGTACTAGCTCCCTGCCAGGGTCGAGCATAGGCCATCCATGTGACAGTGGTGACCCATAAACTCTAGGCCACCAGGAAGGTCCACAAGGACAGTTTTCATTGTGGTAAATGTACAAATTTAATAAAATTGTGTTATTTTACTTACATTAAAATTTAATAAACAATAAAATTTAAAACTTAACTATTAAGATTCCAGGCCAACAAGATCATGAGTACACAGATCCCTACTACAAGCTCAAATTTGTCGCCATCAAACAATTCTTTAAAAAATTATCAAGAGGCCATTCTTAGAGCAATGTTTTGAAGCAAGGCACTCTGAAAATGTGTGCAGCCACTGTAGCATGATTGTGGGGAAACCTCCCTGGGCATGGAGGTGGCCCACACGGCATGGCAGACCTCTCCTGTCCTACCTGTTCTTCCCCACACCCTGTATCTGCTGAATCCTCTCACCTCTTGCACTTCTGGCCTATATGAATGAATTTTTAACAATAACAAAAAATTGATTATGAATTTACTTGGAGATTAACGTAACCGTGCACAGTAGCAGCTTCAGACTCAGCTCCTATCTAGTTCTGATGGAAGTGATCTGTTGAAGAATCCAGAAGGACTTTGCTTTGCTTATGGATCCTTATTTGAAAATGACCCCAGTCTAAGGATCTTCACCAATGATAATTTTCTTGTGAGTCTCAGAGTTTTGTAAGCTTTGAGCCAGGCCTTTCATGTTGAGGTTCTTTTCCTTTTAACTTTGTCAAGTGCATACACACTGTCCCCAAAATTTCTTGCTGGGCTTCTCAGAGTAATTCCAATGTGGAGTATTGCCATCTCTGGTCCCATGGCTGTACATTTATTATCTTTCAAAACCATGGCTGCAGAGTGTCTTCTAGACTGACCTTGATGGCAATGAACAGTGGTGAACCTTGAAGAAGAACATGGGGATGATACCCCAGCACATCTGTAACCAACCAAGTCTTCCATATATAAAAGAACAAAAAGTCAAACAATGCTTAAGAGTGTGCTATCATCATTTTTTAAAGGCCATGAACCTCACAGGTTACGTCCAATTCCTTCTGTATTTCTTACACCAGATCGTTGTATTATGAAACCTGTGGTGATTGTCTGGTTGGAAGCAGCAGGACAACCATGGACTGCAGAGAACCCCCCAGAGCAGAGCCTCTCAGGTCAGTCACTGTTTGTTGGACTAGGAGGGTGGGAAGGGCCAATTCCAGAAAATAACTGGCCACTTCGACCTGTTTTTAAGTAATGGGTTTCCCTAGTCGCAGGCTGCAGGACACTCTCCTTGTGTTATAGGAGAGACTACCTATGTATGTAACGAATGTAGGGAGGCCTGTGAAATGTTAGTGTCCACTACCAAAAAGGAGACTCTGTAGAGTGAACTCACTAAGAGTGGTCTCACTAATAAAGAGGAGAAAATAATTTTTCAGAAGCCAGCAAAATTGATTTTTCACAGATGTTTTGAAAAGACACATCATAACTAAGTCAGAGTAATTATAGGGACAAATTACAACACACTCTTGTCACAGAACCCAGAAGCAATAAACATCTATGTGGTTTATACGTTAAGAGTTTCTCCTAACTGAATTTTATAAAATGCAAACAGGTGAGCAACCATTTAAATGTTGGAAGACCTGTGAGAATTCAACCCTCAATAAACATCAGAGAGCTGTTACAGAGGAGAAATCTTACGAGTATAAAAATAGTATGAAAAGTTTCACCTTGAAGAGACATCAGCAGATCTGCACAGGTGTGAAACCCCATGAATATAAAGAATCTAGGAAAACTTTATTGAAGGAATCAGCCCTCCAGATACATCAGAATACTAAATTGAAGGGATCAGCCCTCCAGATACATCAGAATGTAAAGAAAAGAAAACCCCATGAATATAAAGAAGGGGGGATCGCTTTTAACAGGAAGTCATGTCTCAATAAGCATCGGAGCAATCACACTGAAAAGAAATGCCATGAATGTAAAGAATGTAGGAAAACCTTTTTGCGGCAGTCACACCTCAGGATGCATCAGAGAGTTCACACACGAGAGAAATGCCATGAGTCTAATGAATGTGGGGAATCGTGTCAGTCAGTTCTCAAGATACCTGAGAGAATTCACACAGGCAAGAAATGCTATGAAAGTAAAGAATGTCAGAAAACTTTGTGGCAGGCATCCCTGAAGATACATAAGCAAACTCACACAGGAGTGAGGCGCTATGAATGTAAAGAATGTAAGAAAACGTTCTTGAAGCAGTCAGCCCTCAAGAGTCATCAGGAAATTCATACTGGAAATAAATGTAATGATTGTGGTAGAACCTTTTTGTTACCGTCATACCTCAAGAAACATCAACTAATTCACACAGGAGAGAGACCATATAAATGTAAAGAATGTCAGAAAACCTTCCTGTGGCGGTCATACCTCAAGACACATGAGCAAATTCACACAGGAAAGAGACGCTATGAATGTAAAGAATGTAGGAAAACCTTCTTATCACAGTCATACCTCAAAATGCATGAGCGAATTCACACAGGAGAGAGACACTATAAATGTAGCGAATGCGAGAAAACCTTTGCATGGAAGTCAACTCTGAAGGCACATGAGAAAATTCACACAGGAGAGAGAGGTTATGAATGTAGTAAATGCGGGAAAGCCTATTCACGGAAGGCAAGTCTGAAGAGACATGAGAGAATTCACACAAGAGAGAAACGCTATGAATGTAAAGAATGTAGGGAAACCTTCTTGTCACAGTCATCCCTCAAGACACATGAGCAAATACACACAGGAAAGAGACGCTATGAATGTAATGAATGTGGAAAAACCTTTGCATGGAAGTCAACTCTGAAGATACATGAGAGCATTCACACAGGAGAGAAACTCTATGAATGTAAAGAATGTAAGAAAACCTTTTTGTCACAGTCATACCTCAAAATACATGAGCGAATTCACACAGGAGAGAGATGCTATAAATGTAGTGAATGCGGGAAAACCTTTGCATGGAAGTCAACTCTGAAGGCACATGAGAAAATTCACACAGGAGAGAAACGCTATGAATGTAAAGAATGTCAGAAAACCTTCTTGTGGCGGTCATGCCTCAAGCTACATGAGCGAATTCACACAGGAGAGAGACGCTATAAATGTAAAGAATGTCAGAAAACCTTCTTGTGGCACTCATCCCTCAGGCTACATGAGCAAAAACATACAGGAGAGGGAGGCCATGAATGTAGTGAATGCGGGAAAACCTTTTCACAGAAGTCAACTCTGAAGAGACATGAGAGCATTCACACAGGAGAGAAACTCTATGAATGTAAAGAATGTCAGAAAACCTTCTTGTCACAGTCATACCTCAAGATACATGAGCAAATACACACAGGAGAGAGACGCTATGAATGTAGTGAATGCGGGAAAAAATTTTCACAGAAGTCAACTCTGAAGGTACATAAGAACATTCACACAAGACAGAAACGCTATGAATGTAAAGAATGTAGGAAAACCTTCTTGTCACAGTCATACCTCAAAATACATGAGCGAATTCACACAGGAGAGAGATGCTATAAGTGTAGTGAATGTGGGAAAACCTTTGCACGGAAGTCAATTCTGACGGTACATGAGAACATTCACACAAGACACAAAAAGTATGAATGTAAAGAATGTAGGAAAACCTTCTTGGCACATTCAAACCTCAAGATGCATGAGCGAATTCACACAGGAGAGAGATGCTATAAATGTAGTGAATGCGGGAAAACCTTTTCACGGAAGTCAGCTCTGAAGGTACATGAGAACATTCACACAAGACAGAAACGCTATGAATGTAAAGAATGTAGGAAAACCTTCTTGGCACCGTCAAACCTCAAGGTGCATGAGCGAATTCACACAGGAGAGAAACGCTATGAATGTAAAGAATGTCAGAAAACCTTCTTGTGGCAGGTATCCCTCAAGCTACATGAGCAAATTCACACAGGACAGACACGCTATGAATGTAGTAAATGCGGGAAAACCTTTTCACAGAAGTCAGTTCTGAAGGTGCATGAGCGAATTCACACAAGAGAGAAACGCTATGAATGTAAAGAATGTAGGAAAACCTTCTTGTCACTGTCATACCTCAAGGTACATCAGCGAATTCATACAGGAGAGAGACGCTATGAATGTAAAGAATGTAAGAAAACTTTCTTCTGGCCATCAGACCTAAAGGTACATCAGAGAGTTCACACAGGAGAGAAACTTTATGAATGTAAAGAATGTGGGAAAACCTTCTTGTGGCGGTCATCCTTCAAGATGCACCAGAAAATTCACACAAGAGAGGAATGTTATAAATGCAAAGAATGTGGGAAAACTTTCTTAAGGAAATCATACTTCAGAATGCATCAGAGTATTCACACAGGAGAGAAACGCTATGAATGTAAAAAATGTCAGAAAACCTTCTTGTGGTGGTCATCCTTCAAGATACATGAGCGAATTCACACGGGAGAGAGACCCTATGAATGTAAAGAATGTAGGAAAACCTTCTCGTCACAGTCATACCTCAAGGTACATCAGCGAATTCACACAGGAGAGGACCTCTATGAATGTAAAGAATGTAGGAAAAGCTTCTCATCACAGTCATA